GGGGGTGATCGGCCTGGCAAGGGAAGGCAGTTGGGGGTGATCGGGCCGGCAGGGGAACAGTTAGGTGTCAATCAGGCCAGCAGGGAAGCAGTTAGGGGGTGATCAGGCTGGCAGGTAGAAGCAGTTAGGGGCAATCAGGCAGGCAGGCAGGTGAGTGGTTAGGAACCAGCAGTCCCGGATTGTGAGAGGGATGTCTGAAACCAGCAGTCGAACGTCCCCCAACGGGTCCCAGATTGGAGAGGGTGCAGGCTGGGCTAAGGGACACCTCCAGTGCACAAATTTTGTGCACCAGGCCTCTAGTCCTATATAATAGAAGTCCAATATGCTAAGTGTCCAGTCAACCAGTCAGCCATTCAACCAATCAAAGTGTAATATGCTAATAATATTCTGAGGCTGCTCAACCACTCGCTATGATGTGCACTGACCACCAGGGGGCAGACACTCCAACCGGTATGTTAGCTTGCTGCTGGGGTCCGGCCGATCAAGACTGAGCAAGATGGGCCAGACATGCCCTGGAGCCCTCCCACAGTCCCTCCCTGGCTGGCCAACCTCCTGCGTCTCTCCTGGCCCTGATCATGCACCAGTGGGGTCTCTCAGCCTGGCCTGCACCCTCTCACAATCCGGGACTCCTTGGGGGGTGCTGGAGAGCCAGTTTTGGCCCAATCCTGCAGGCGAGGCCGAGGGACTCCATTAGTACACAAATTTGTGCACCGGGCCTCTAGTATAGAATAAGCTATTGTCTCAGATGTCACCCAGGCACCAATCCCTCAACTGTTACAGAAATAATTTTTTAATGCACTCTAATTTTTTTTCCTGCTGACTTTGGGTTTAGTTTGTTTTTGTTTTCTAGTTCCTTATATGGTAAAGTTAAATTGTTGATTTGAGATTTTTCTTTTCTTTAATGTAAGCATATATATATTGAAGTCCATTGAAGTCCCTCTGGATTCCTTCATTCTGTTTTTGAGTTCCTTTCTGTTTTCTTGAGGTCTTCTTCTTCTTATACAGGTCATGTCTTGCAAGTCTATGTTTGGGTTCATTTTTCTTTACATAATCCAAGGGATCATCCTATATAATAAAAGCATAATATGCAAATTGACTGAACGGCAGAACGACTGGTCAGTAGGGAGCGGGTCTGGTGAGCAGGCAGCGCCAGGCCAGCCAAGGCACGTGCCAGCAGGCAGAGGGAGGGGACAGCGATCAGGGGGTGGCAGTGACCAGCGGTGGCAAAGGGGTGATCCATCAGTCGGACAATCCCTTAGAGCTCCCAGACTGTGAGATGGCACAGGCCAGGATGAGGGATCCCCCCGAGTGTATGAGTTTTCATGCACCAGGCTTCTAGTGTATACACACACACACACACACACACTTCACCCTCAGTACTTTCACTATGTCCCACATTTTGGTTTGTTGTGTTTTCATTTTCATTTATCTCTAAGTATTTTCTAATTTCCCTTATGACTTTTCTTTGATCCATAAAATGTGTTGCATAATTTCCACTATTTTGTGAATTTTCCAGTCTTATTTACTTCTAACTTCATATTGTCAGAGAAAATACTGTGTATCTCTTTTCAAAGCTACTGAGATTTAATTTGTGACCTAACATATGGTCTATCCAGGAAAATGTCCCATGTGTACTGGAGAAGAATGTGTATGCTGCTGTTGGGTGGAATGTTCTGTGTCTGTTAGATCTAGTTCATTTATTAAGTTAAGCTCCCTATTTTCTTTCTTATCTTCTGTCTGCTTCTTCTATCCATTGTTGTGAGTGGGGTATTGAAGCCGGCAATTATTATTGTAGAACTGTTTCTCTCTCAATTCTGTCAGTTTTTGCTTCATCATATATTTTGACTAGAGGTCTGGTGCACGAAATTCATGCACGGGTAGGGTCCCTAGGCCTAGCCGACGATCAAGGCTAATCAGGGCCTTCTGGCTGCCAGCTGGGGCCTCCCTTCCCTGGCTACCAACTGCCGGCTGGGGCCTTCCTTAGTTCCACACCGCCCCCTGGTGGTCAGTGCATATCATAGCAAGCAATCAGCCTCCTGGTCGAACTCCTGTGGGGACAATTTGCATATTAGGCTATCTTCTTTAGTTCTTCTAAAGAACTTCTTCTATATTTAGTTCTTCTTTGTCTCATAACTTTTTGGGGGTTTAAAGTCTACTTTATCTGATATTAGTATGACCAATTCTCCCTTTTGGTGACTATTTCTAGAGAATACCTTTCTCCATCCTTTCACTTTCAACCTATTTGTGCCTTTGGATATCAAGTGAATCTCTTGTTGATGATATTTTGTTAGATCATTATGCCAGTCTTTGTCTTTTAATTGAAGAGTTTAATACATTTACATTTAAAGTAAATATTGATGAGGGACAAACTTCTGTCATGTTTTGTTTTCTATATGCTATATAGCTTTTTTGTCACTCATTTTCTGTACTTTTTTGTTAAATTTTTTTGTAGTAAAATGTTTAAATTTCCTTTTGTATATGTTCTATAGTTATTTTCTTTGTGGTTGCCATAAGAATTTCATTTAACATCCTAAAAGTATAATATCTAATTTGAATTTCTAGCAGCTTAACTTCAATAACAAAAATTTTATAGCTCCATCCCTACGCCTTTTGTTTTTCTCACATAAAAGTTCTTAGTTTATTAATCTCATGAAAAATCTGCACAATCACCCCAGATCAAGTCATTGAAGAATCTTTACTCCTTCTGTTGTCCCATCTCCAGCTCAGTTTGCCAGCACAAACGTTGGCCATTGAAGTCCCCCTGGATGCCTTCATTCTGTTTTTGCGTTCCTTTCTGTTTTCTTGAGGTCTTCTTCTTCCCATACAGGTCATGTCTTGCAAGTCTATGTTTGGGTTCATTTTTCTTTGCATTATCCAAGGGATCATAAATCATGCCAAAGCCAGTTGTCTTGCCACCACCAAAATGGGTTCTGAATCCAAACACAAAAAGATGACATCTGGAGTGGTCTTATATATTTTGGCTAGTTTTCCCTTAATTTCTATCTTGGGTACTGTTGCCTTCCCAGGGTGAAGGATATCAAGGACTATTTGTTTCTGCTGAAGTAGACTGTTGGTCATGAACGTCCTAGTCCATATAGTTACTGTGTCATTCATGACAGAGTTTCATCCCCTTTTGGTTGATGATGTCACAAAATTACATCTTTCTACAGTGAAACCCACAAACATAAACTAATTCTTCTAAATGCATTAGTCTCCTAAATTATGTAGAAAACAAGACCTGCAGTTACAAATCAGTTACAGTAATATTAGCGTTTACATTACCAAGTTTTTCTTTGTTTTTTAAGTTGTAGAAAAAAGTAGTTACAAACTACTGTTACAATAATACTAGCTTATGTAATTGCCTATGCATTTACTTTCATTTAGATCTTCATATGTCTACATGGCTTTGAGATGCTGTCAAGGTGAATGAATCATTTCACCTTGCAGTACTCCGTGAGCAGTTCTTGCTGGCCTTGTCTAGCCATCATGAACTACCTCACTTTTCATCTGAGAATGTCTTGACTTCTCCCTAACTATTAAGGACAGTTTTGCTGGATATACAACTCTTGGCTGACTTTTGTTGTCTTGTTTTAGCACTCTGAATATATTAGCCCAGTCCTCTGGTCTCCAAAGTTTCTGATGAGAAATCTGAAGACAATCTTATTGAGGAGTCCCTGTATGTAATAATTCACCTCTTCCTGCTTTTAAGACTTGCTCTCTTTTGAAAGTTTATGTCTCTTGGTATAGGTCCTTTAAAATCTTAATTGGAGTTTGTTCAGTTTCATGTATGTTTATATCTTTCATCAAATTGAAGAAGTTTTCAGCCATTTCTTCAAATATTCCCTTCCCCTTTCTCTTTCTGGGACTTCCATATGTATATTGGTCCTTTTGATTGTGTTCCATGGGTCTTTTAAGCTCTATTAGTTTTTCTTCAACCTTTTTTCTCTCTGTTTCTCAGCCTTGAAAATTTCAATAGTTTTATCTTCAAGTTCACTGATTCTTTTAATTGTTCAAATTGGCCTTTTAATCCTAGTAAATTTTTCATTGTAGTTTTCTGAGCAAGAATTTCTTCTTGGTTTATTTTTACGTTTTTTTTGTCTGATATTTTCATTTTGTTCACACATTCTTTTCTTGATTTTCTCCACATCTTCCTTTAGTTCTTCCATCTTAAGACAATTGTTTTAGATCTTTGTCTAATATATTTGTCATTGTCTTTTTCTTAATGGACAGATTCTGTTTATTTTTTCATTTGAATGGGGCCATATGTTCCTATTTCTTTGTATGCCTTATGATTTTTTTAAACACATCTAGTAATGTATTAACTGAAAATCAGATACTCCTCCCCAATGTTTTGTTGCTTTTTGTTTTGTTCACTTATTTTTATTGTCGTCAGCTGTCTCTTTGTCAAGAATAGGCCAGAGGTGTAAACTTGTTTTTCTCATGTCCTTCCTGAGTAAACAGTGGGTATGCAGCCACCTTCTAATTTCCCCCATATGCGTGGTTATGTTTGAATGTCATAGTCTTTCATATCTGGCTCCTGAAAGGAGAAAAGCAAAAACTGAAGTGGGTGGAGGAGGGCACAGCCCATTAAGTCTCCCACTAGTCACTTCAGCTAGAGGAGGGGCTTGCAACAAGGAGAGAGGTGCAACAACAACGGCTGCCAATCTCTTTGCCTGCACCTTTGTGATCAGAAGTAGCAATCAGTGATGGGAGCACAGATCCCTAATAGTTAGGACAGGGTCTCTTTTACCATCCTAGCTCCCATGCTGTGTGCAAGCTGCTGAACACTGCCTGCCAGGCAGCTGAGGGTAGGGGAGGGGTAGCTGCTACTGTGCCAAGAGCTGAAATTGACCAAAATTAACCAGTTTACTAGTCTTTCCCTGGAAGTTGTAAGCCTTTAACAGACTCAAGTTCCAAAATAATTATATCATTACTGGTGTTATTTTAACCATATTTTCTGTGATTGATCCCAAGAAAACTTTAGTTATGCAACCATGTGGTCAATATGTTATAAAAATACATATTTATTGTTTCAATGTTCTTACATAATACAGATACCTAGTCATATACTTAGTCTTCATGTTAAATATAAACAAACAAAAACTAAACAAATCAGCAAAACTGCTGGAAAATCCCTCCAAACCATGAACCCTTATAAAAATGCAGAGAGGATGAGATGATCTTACCTTAAGTCACCATGCTCTGAAGATTAACTGTAGCCAAATGTGAGTGTGTAAAGAAGCAATAAAAACAAAGTGACGTGGAAGAGTACACAGCGAGCTGGGCAAGTCAAACGGCTCCAGGAACATTTCGGCAAAGTGTCGTCTTTGTGTAACAAAGATCAGGGGCTTGACCTCAAACTACAGGGTAATTTCAAAGCAATACCAGGACAGCATGGCCAGAAGACTTGGTAGTCACATGACTTCAGAACATGAGTTCCCAACGACCCACCGATGAGGAATATCTCCTCTTTACTCTAAAAGCCTGTCCCAGAGCCCTAACTCAAAACCAGGTTACTAAAAATGACTAAGGATCAGCCCCTGTCTTGAAAATCCACAACTGTAGCGATACTACATGTGTGCATTTAATACCTGGAGAACTCTTGCTGCATTTCAAAACAGAAAGTTTTGAATGTTAACCTCAAGAGAAAGTTATGATATTGTGGCTAAAATACCCAGGTCAGGACTGGCCTAACGTGTCTTCCCTATAAAAGTTGAGATCTAAGTCCATGAGCAACAGGAGACACAGTTTCCTTCGTCTTCTCTCACAGGGGTGCACTGGTGCAGGGGCCTGTCCTTGTCACAAGTCTCCCACGGTCCTCTTCAGGCTGGAGCAATGGAAACAGCTGGTGGGATGATCCCAAGAACTCACCACACCCAAATCCCACACACAGGCATAGTTCAGCCCCAACAGTTTGCATGCCCTGCTAGGACACAGCTCTGTGCCAGCAGTGCAGGATCGGACAGCCTATGACGGCCACCAGACACCCAATCTCTGAGTGCAATGGCAAAGATGGCCATCACCACTTCCCAGAAGGCATCCCACACTGACTTCCATGGTGGGTCAATTACGAGGCTCTGTGGCCGGGGGGCTCCGGACCGTGGACATGAGGTGGGACTTGTAGGTTTTGCTCAGGCCTGTCATCCAGAACTTGAGCAGTTTGACATTGTCCTCCTCAGATGCTCCGAGGATACTCAGGAGCTTCTGTGTGTCCTCTTTGGGCCGACTGTCCACCTTGGTGAATTTGAAAAGGACCTTCACTTTGCTGCAGAAAACAAAACAAAACACTCAGATGCCACAGCACAATCACTGAGCTCTGGTCTGCAAGCAGAGCTGGAATTCAAACCCTCAGAAGGGACAGCACAGCAGGGCCGCAGACCACCTGCAACCTTAGGGTCTCTAGTTTGCCCATCAGTGACAGCCTTGGGTAGTATGGTTGGTGTATCAAAATGGAAAAAAAGGAGAAAAAATTTTTCCCCTTAAATTCATGAAAGAATTTGGTTGATCCTAAGCTTTGCTGTATTATTTGAAATCAGGATAATGTTTTACTAATTAAATTTGACAAAAAATTACTAAGAAGGCAGGAGGAAATAAAGTAACCTGCTTCAGTAAAACAGAAATACCTATTTATCTGACTTTCAGATTTTTAAAGTTAATTAAACAGCAAAAATAAATGCTTCCCTTGGAGGCAGGTGTCACCCCTGTCTCATAGAGGAGCAGCCTGCAGCTTGGGGCACCAGGTCATTTGCATGGTGTCACCCAGCCAATATATTCGTAGAGGAGCTGGTGATTGAACTCGCTCTTAACTGCTCTCCGGTAGCCACAGCCTCACCTCCTTCTCTGAAAACAGCTTCTGGTTCTCCTTAGCAGACACACTGCTGCCGGCAATCCAGCCCTCTCATCAGCAATGAACGCCCCAGGAGTGCAGTGGCCAGTACTTACTTCATCCATTCTTCTTTGAGGCAGATGAGGCACTGGTCAACCACATCCACAGATAGATTCTGGTTGGTTAGAGCAGCTTCCATCTTATTCAGAATGGTCGGGCCCACTGGGAACAGGGAGGGGCACAGCAGGCGGGGGAGGAGGGTCAGCCCAGGAGGGGAGGCGCACTCCCTCTCCCAATCTCGTGGTGCAGGCGCCGCCCAGAAGCACCCACCTCGGTCTGCAGCCACAGCACTCCCACTGGTCACCACGAACTCGTACTTGCTCAGAGACTGGTCGTCCTCACACCCAGCCGGGGGGAGGCTGGAGGGAGCGGCTGTGTGGACCTCCACTACGACAGCAAATTCTGCAGCAATACAAACGCACTGCTCCCGGAGCGTCCTCCACTCGGCAGCAAGCCCACCTCTGCCTGCTGCTCAAATCACCTGATCACCCAGGGATAACCCGTCTCCGGAGATGAACACTTGGGCATTTAAAACTTTCTGTGGTTTATTTGTACACAGTTAAGGTTTAACTTTGTTAGACTAACACCATATTATTTTATAATAATACTAATTATATATCTCAATTTCCATACTACTAAACAGCCCTATGACCGCTAGAGAGAGGTGCCACAATTCCCCCATTCTGTAGACAGGGAAACGGACTCAGAAGCCAAGTGACTCGCCTGAAGCCACTAGAAGTGGTAAGACTTTAAGCCCATCCTGAAACCTGAGCCTGCGTTCTGAATCGGACCCAGGACAGAGGCCCAGCCTCGGTGCTGAATGGAGGCTGCTCAGGGCTGCGGAGGCCAGCCGCTCTGCCACTTCCCCGCCCACCACCCAAGCGTAGGGCTGCCCCTCGTTGGTGTTGGAAGCCCCGGCCGCCTTGGCAGCTGCGATGGCACCCAGGCTGGCTCCTGAGCTTCCTGAACCAAAAGTGAGGGGTGCTGATTAGCTTCTTGGTAGTAAGGTTGCGGGCGTGGAGGGCGGAGCCGGCTGAGCAATGGATGCAGAAGATGCAAATAAAAGGGGAGCATCTGAGATCATGCTCCCCAGCATGTCCTCAGTTTTGGCTCAAATAAGCTCTTGTTTTAAAAAAGACATGTAAAAGGAAGAAACACTTGGAGGGAACAAGGAAGTGTGACAGAACATGAGAGAGCAAAGGAGCCCACCAGACACATGGACCATGAAGGCGGCTGTCGCAGCCCAGCAAGCCTCCAGCTCAGCGGCATCCCTGACTCACCTGCCCAGATGCAACTACAGTCCTTTGACAGCCACTGGCTGTTCCCACTCCCAGAGTGCGGCCTGCCCCCGACTGAGAACCATGCTCTGTAAGCCACCCTGACTATGAAGCTGTCCAGTCCAAACCTCATCCATTTTAAAGGCAGAAAACAAAGGCCCAATGGCACTGGGAAAGCTGGTCCTGCAATGGGGGTACCTCCTGCTCCCAAGGCCGGCAGGCAACATTCTCGAATGCACAGCGAAGGCCCGGCCCACGTCTAAGCCCTGGGCGCTGGGCCTCAGGTGAGGAGAGCACGCACCTGAGGAGAGCACGTGGGTGGGGATCTGCACGTGGGGGCTGAGCCCCAGGAAGTTGCAGCGGTAGGCCTCCTCGTACTGGCTGCTGTAAGGGATGACACGCACACAGCCCACGGGCAGCATGGTCTGGAGAGGAGAGAGAGACTCTCAGAACCCACAGCAGATGGAACACCCTGGCCCTGCCTGTCTCCATCACCCACCTTCCAGGACCCTCCGCAGCGCCATCCGAAGTCTCCCTCCTCCCAGGAGGCGTCCCTGGTCACTCAGCCCCCTGGGTGTCCCCTGGCCATTGGTCAGGTGTAACTCGTGCTGCCTCCTGCTTTATGGTGCTACTTCCTATATAATTCTTGTATTGCTCAGACAGCGGGCTCTTCCCGCACCCAACAAAGAGATCCCATGCTTTCTGAGAGATTGTCATGTTCACTTTGTGCCTCGCAGGCCTACGCAGCAGACGGCAGGCATTCACACTTTCTAGTGACTTAAACACATGAGCGCCAAACCCGGGCCGTGGCACCCATCGCACCTCTGGGATGGGACAGCGTGCTGCCCCTGCACCACCCCCATCGGACTGTTGCGCAGAGGCAGTGCGACGACCCAGGGCTGCTGCCACAGCAGCTGTGACCACCCCATGGCTTCTGCAAGTGACTCAGGGGATGAGGACGGGAGAGAGTGTCATTAGTTCTCAATCTATCAGGAAGCACAGGCTCCTTCCACTAGAAATAAAAGCCATAAATAACTGTCATTTTTAATAGTGGAGGGAAACACGGATCTCAGGAAGGAGCATCAGTGCACCCTAACAATCACACCCAACAAATACTGTCCTGCTATAGAACAAGGAAGGACAGAAGACACCCTTACCCGGAGAACTTCAAACGCTGACAGGACAAGGTCTGTGTCCCTGCTTTTCCAGATCACCTGGTTCCCCATGAGAACGTGCCAGGCCAACATGCGAAAAGACGAGGCACCCAGGACCTGAAAAACAGAGCTCAGTGCTCTCTGCCCTGAATGTGCATTCTGTCCAACGGATGCTACTTGTGTGTCCATCTAGAACCTTTTCTGTACAGTCAAGGAAGGCAGGTCAGAGAAGCCGCCACTTAGCTTCTTGGGGAGGCTGACTGGCTTGCCCAGGTCAGAAGGCAGACAGTAGTCCCCAGATTTGTACCTAAAATCAGATCCTAAAACTCTTGCACATTTTATAAAATCTTTTTCTCATTTTCATTTTCAAAGCCTTGAAGCAGAAAAAGTATTAGCAACATTCACCTTCTCTGGCTACACACTTTACTTTGCTGAACCACTTGAAAGCAAGTGGCAGGTATCAGGGCACTGCAGGCCCAGGAAGAGCAGGGGTCTCCACAGCCCTCACTCCACATCCAGACGCCGCCGATGTGGCAAACCCAGCATCCAGAGCCAGCCTGCTCCAGCCAGCGCTCCTCCCACCAGGCCTGTCCCCGCCACGCTGCTCCCCGCCCTGCCCACACTGCTCTCATCCAGACCAGCCCCTGCCCCCCGTTTTTAATCTTCTCAAGGATATGCTGTTTGTTTTAGTTACTGCTTTTGTAGAGAGAGAAATACGCTGTTTCACTGGTGGATTCCTGCATGTGCCCTGACGGGCATGGACCCGCAGCCACCAAGGAGGTTGGTGGTCACTCCTCACCACCCGTCTCTGCGGGTCTTGAACACCATGAGCCCCAAGGACCAAGTGTGCTGGAGGGGACGAGGGGGTGGGGACGCGGCTCTGGCCCTCTGCTGCCTACCTGTCTCATGTGCCGAAGGGACTGAAAGACGGACAGCTTTCGGGGCTGCCAGCTCTCACAGTCTGAGAGCGAGGAGGAACCTGTGGGACATTTGGTCAGCTCCCGCCCCTCCGCACCCTCTGGCAAGACAGAGGCTTTTTCCTCTTCAGCCTCCGAGTTGTCCCAGCTTTCTGATTCCTCTTCTAAATCTGCAGGACGGACAACAAAGACAGCTATGAAGCCTGCCGCCCCCTGGACTCCCCCACTTCCTGGCTGCGATGGTCTCCTTGTGTGACCACTTCAGCCCAAGGCCCCTCATGGTTAAGCTACTAGAGGCCGTGGATTGCTGATTGGGGCCAGCCATCTCCACTACTCTTTACTGTTGTTAATTTTCACCCGAGGACATTTTTCCCATTGATTTTTAGAGAGCAGAACGGAGGGGGGAGGAGGAGAGAGGCACATCGATGTCAGAGACACATTGATTGGTTGCCTCCCACACACACCGACCAGGGCTGGGGATGGAACCTGCAACCCAGGTATGTGCTCTTGATGGGGAATCAAACCCATGACCCTCCATGCACAGGCCGAAGCTCTATCCACTGAGCGCACCGGCAGGGCTATACTACTCTTACCCTACGAGCCTTGCGGTGGGCTGGGAGGGCCCAGAGCCTCACTGCGTTGCCAGGCACCTGCAGAACTGCGCGGTTCCCACAGGGGAAAGGTCACGCAAACGGCACGGAGGACAGAGCCTGGCTGCCTGAGCTCCTCCACGGCCAGGACTACTCCAGGGGCTTCCTCACCTCCTCACCCTTTCACCCTCAATACCATCCTCCTCATTTTAAAGATAAAGAAATGTCTTATTTCAATTAGTCTTCATACAATCCTCACCTGGTGAGGCCCTCGGGGAGGGCTGTGCCCAGCACATGGAACAGAGCAGAAGGCAGGCCCTGCAGATGGGTCAGCCGCCCCCAGAGCCTGTGCTCTGAGCCTCCTGTGACCAGAACACAGACCAGGATGGGACAGAAGCCTGGAAGGTTGTCCGGATGCACGGGGCTCTCTGTGCAAGGAACTCTCACCACCTTCACTAGCCTGGAAACTTACAATCACTACAATAATGGACACTCTAGGGCCAGCCTGGCCACGACTGCAAAGTTTTCTCTCTTCTGAGTACCTTCTGCTCTCGCGGAAACTATTTGCTTTTCCCTACTCAGGAGAGGGTTTGCGTGCAACCGTGTGGAAGTCACCTGACTGCAGGAGGGGCCTTGCGACATCTCCAGTGTTTTAAGGTCAATTATCTGCCATTGCAGCACACCAGCATGGCTAGCAACAAGCTACACACACACACACCACAGTCGGATCTACCCACCACGCCGCTGAGACTGTAGACCTCAATCATCAAGCGAAGGCCCTCTGGAGGAAAGCACAGCCGGGCGGGACCAGGGGTTCCTGGGGAGTTCCTGAGCGCATGGGCCCTGCGCCCAGACACGAAGAGCTGACCCCACACCTGAGAGGGCGGCCCAGACAGTGAAGCGGGAACCGCCGCCCTTGATGGGAACCCTGGCCCGGCGGCTGCACAGCTCTGTGCTGCTAGCGAGCAGAGTACGAGAATCTGGAGAGGCTAAGCACTTGGTTAACGATAAAACAGGGACAAGAAAGCTTCCCATCGGCCAATCCTTACACAGCCCGACAGGGGCTTTTCCCGGCTGCCTGGGTCACAGGCGCTTCTGGACTGTCCAGGAGGATGAGACAGGAAATCAAGACAGGAGCGCGTGGGCTAAAGGGCAAGCCTCTCTGAGAGGCTCCTCGTGGGCTTACCCCAGGGCCCCCGGTCAGCTCTCTGCCGGCCTGGAGGAGGCCGCTGGCTGGGATGGCCCCAAGGCCACGTGGGCAGAGGGCGCTCCCGCTTACCCGCGAGCTTCTCCATCTGGACCAAGGTGTCCTCGGTGGGCGCGCCCTCCAGGAGCTTCTCCGTCAGCCGGCTGCCGCACGCCTTCAGGAGCCTGAGAACAGAGCCCTCATGTCTCTCGTCAGGAGAAAGCTGAACCCGAAGCCCCTCAAGCCTCTCGCTCTAACCCCCAGTTTATAGAAAACGGCGCAAAAGAAACCAATGGCCCAGCTCCCCCAACAAAAGGCACAGGAAAAGCAGGGCAGGAGACACTATTCCAGATAAGAGATTTACAGCAATCCACACACTGCGTGTGACCCAATTCAAAAGTCACTTGTGAGGGAAAGTGAATGTGGACTGGGCTGGATGGTACTAAGAAATTAGTCCATTTTGTCGGATATGATCATGGTTTTGCAGCTGAAATGATACAACTGACATCTGCTGTAAAAAACTCTAGGAAAATGTGAGGGGCACATGAAAAAGCAGATGCTGACAGCTGCCAAAGCTGGACGACAGGGATGCCGCGTGCACGGTGCTGTTAATTCTACTCTGAGCCGCTTAGAAACATCCCACGTAGAAGTGACCTTTAAGAGCCAGGGGCGATGGATGTGGGAGGTGGGATTCGCAGGTCTTGGCAGCTGCACCCGAGGGCCCCCCTCTGAGCTCCTCGCCCACCAAGACCTTAGACAATGAGCCCTAGACTTCGCACTGACCGCACAGGAGTGAGAATGTGGGGGGGTCTTCGGAGGATCTTGCAATGGAGGGACTGAAACAATCGATGGCCAGAGGACAAACAGTCGTCATTTCAAATACATCACAAATCCACAGACGCTCCTCCCTTCCAAAGCGGAAGACTAACCCTCTCCTCCACCGAGGCTGGCCTCGGGGACACAGCACATTCCTAACCAACAGCGGGACACAGCCGTGTGGGCTGCGGCCGGTCAGGACCTTGCGTATCCCACCCCCTGCTCTTCTTGGTCGCTCACTCTGAGGGAAGTCAGCTCGTCTGTCCGCACTGCGAGGGGCTGAGACCTCCTGCCCACAGCCAGCACCCCCGTGCCAGCCCCGTGAGGGAGCCAAACCGGATGGCGGAAACCTCCTTAGAACCTGAGCCGGACTGGCCAGCTGAGCCTCTCTCCACTCCTGACCCACGGAAGGTGTGGGAGGTAAATGCTCATCACTGGCTACAAAGAAGGGAGAAGATCCCTTGTCTTGGAATGCGACTATCTTTTTTTAAAAAATGTATTTCTACTGATTTCAGAGAAAAGAAAAAGGGAGGGATAGAAGCATCAATGAGGAGAGAGAATTACTGACTGGCTGTTTCCTGCACACCCCCCACTGGGGATCAGTGGTGTGTGTCCTGACTGGGAATTGAACCATGACCTCCTGGTTCATAGGCAGACGCTCAACCACGGAGCCACAGTGGCCGGGCCTAGTTTTTTTTTAGAGGACGTTTATTAAGGCTGGGGACAGCAAAACAAAGGGCCTAGGATAGAAGCAACAGGAGAGGGACTCGCTGGGGATATGAGCCTCAGCTGGGCTGCTTGGGCTCAGTAAGAAGTCCGAGAAAAGGGGGCCTGAGGACAGGGCCAGCCGTCAGCCTGAAACGCGCTGCGAGCAGCCACTGCCCACTGGCCCATGGCTGCAAGTCTCCTGGGGGCCCTTAGAGTCTAGGAAGGGCGCCTGTGGGGAAGAAGAGGGAAGGGAAAGGCATAGGCGTGCTTCTGGGAGGGAGTGTGCACGCTGGGACTAGCATTCAGAAACATCACTGGGAAGGGAGCTCTACAGGACGCGTCTCAGGGAGAACCGGGTCCAGGTCAGTGCTCAGTACACTGCATACCAGGGAGGCACCAACACTGCTCTCCCCGAAGCCTCCCCTGCTCTCTCCAGAGCAGCTGAAAGGCCTGCGGCCTCCTTACCACGCGAAGGAGGTGTGCAGGCACGCCCAGAGGTTGTCATCGCTGGTCAAGGAGGTGAGCGACCGGGCGGCGTTGCCGTTCCTCTGGTGCAGGAACGGGGTGAAGGCTGTGTTCATCCTCTGGGCGCGCTGTGGGCACCCGAACTGCTCTGCCTCAAACACCTGCAACGCAGAGGAGGGAGCCCTGTACCCGAGCACAGCAGCCAAGCGGCCTGGGCTCCCAGCCAGCATCCCGATGCTGCCCTGAAGCCTGTCCCCACCCCACGCAGAGCACAGAGCGCCAGTCTCGTGATTCCAACAGAAGGGTCTGCTCCCCGGCTGTCGGGACACCCCTGCCTCTCCTACGAAGGCCTTCTGGGGCACTGGAGAGACACTGAGGCAGCAGGCGTGCTCACGGCCACGACTGTCATGCTCCACATCTGTCCAGTCCTCCCAGTCCAGGCACATGGAGGCTCATCACACAGAGCATGTGGGAGGACATGCGACCAGCACCCTCACTTCCCTCCAGCAGGCAAACAAGCAGCATGGCTGTCGGGACCGTACAACAAGCAGATCCCCCCAGTCCCTGCAATGGACAAGCAACCTGAGCCAGAGAAAAACTTGCCAGGCATCACCTGGCCAGCCCTGAGGTGCAAGGCCAGCTGGGGGTGGCAGGTCTGCAGCCTGGTTAGTGACCAGGCCTTTGCAATGGAGGCCAGAGGACAAAGACATCAGATGAAGCCAGGTCTGACTGCAGCCAAGAAGCCAGAGCTGAGCCAGACCAGGACATCAGAGACCAGAAAAGCAACCAGACTGACTGGCCGACTGCCGGGCCTCCGGCCACAACTCCGACCCTGAGGCCAGGAAATGACAATTCACTGGCAGACAGAGCAGCCACGGCAGGACCACCGTGCACACCCCACCGCCCGCTCCCCCATCGGGGCCACCTTGAGCGCCTTGCCCTGGAGCTCATCGATGATCCCGCGGATCTTCCCGAGCAGGAAGGGCCAGGAGTTGATGAGGTAGATGCGGTCCATCATGATGGTGATGATGCTGTACCAGCGCTGGAAGCCGCGGGCCAGGCTGTCTTTGATGAAGAAGGTGTGGCTGAACACAAACCCATGCTGCTCGTCCCCGAAGAAGATAGGGCCTTCGCGGCCAGGGCAGACCTGCGCCAAAGACAGTCCTCGCCTTGCTTCCAGGACAGAGTCAGCCTCCTGCTCAGATTCCCTTTCTGTACTCATCAGCCACGTTAATCATGGGGAAGGAAAGAGGAGGGACTGGGAGGAAAACTGCTCCCATCTCCTCCTGGGACCCAGCTGATTGTTATCATGGAGTGCAAGGGCCAGCCAAGTAGGCTCATTACATTTTCTACCTTGAGCCCTAAGTAACTCCTACACAAATAAACCTACCCCAGACTCCTATCTGCCAACATCACTCTGAACACACTGGAGAGCGGCAAGTGAGACAGCCACTGCAGAGCCCATGTGACAAAACGTGCTGCATTTGTAGGAGGACTTGGGGCCCATGACAGCCATGCTCCCTGTACACACAACCCCTTCGGGCATGATCGCCTGCCAGCTAGCAGGTTAGGAGCAGAATAGCAAGAGGCGGGAAAGAGCCTAAGGTGGGCACAGGGAATAGTAAGTGAGCCCTGAGAGTGGGGGCTCAGGGGTCTGACCAAGTGGGCATAGTGACGGGAAGTCTCAGTTACTGGATTATGAATTCTTCCTGAGAGATAAAAACCTAAAAGCTAAGACTAAAACTCAGCAGCAGCAGCCACATAGTTTACAAACAATGGTCTCCCCCTTCGGGAGGATCTGAGAGCACGTGATGACTGAGGGGTAAACTACATGCCCGAGAAATGTCCCATACCTTAGAAATGCGTCCGTTAAGAATGAACAAATGACCAAAGTTTGGTGCTTCAAGTGATAAGTTAGCAGCCACTAGCCCAGCACAGTGTGTTTTGGATTGTGGAGAAGGGGCCCCCGTAGCCGCCTCCTCCCCCCCCCCCCCCCCCCCCCCCCCCCCGCCGCCTGGCTCAGGGTCTGCCTGTGGCTTCTCTATAGGACTGACTCCTGTCTTCCTTCCCATAGCCCCTGGGCCTGTTCAGGGAATCCTGGGGTACATGAGATCCCCCAAAACAGCCACCCCTCCCACCCCGCAGTGCCCACCTCACAGCTCAGGCTGCGCACGCAGGCCTGGCGGACAATGCTGAAGAGCTGGGGGTGGCTGGGGTGCTGATGGCTGACATATTTAATTGAAGTCTCTTTATCGTGGCTCAGGTACCCGGGATGCCCCACAGCAAGTGACCGGCAGCCCTGCCCACGAGAAGGAAAAGAAAACCAGTTAGTCGGGAAGCAGGTACCATGCTTTCTTGCCCTGTGCAGAGCTGAAGTGGAGACTCCATACAGTCCTAACTGCATGCCAGTTATACTTCCCTGAGGATTTCGCTGTTTCCTGACGAGGACACCCAGGATGCAAAGACCACAAAGGTTTCACAGGGTACGAGTAACAGATCCAATATACTGAGCACTTACGTAGCAGGTGTTAAGAAAGCTCTACGGCCCTGGCCCGTGTTCTCAGTGGTTAGAGAGTCAGCCCACGCACCAAAGGGTCACCGGTTTGATTCCTGGTCAAGGGCATGTACCTGGGTTGCAGGTTCAATCCCCAGCCCCAGTCAGGGCATGTGGTAGAGGCAACCAATCGATGTGTCTCTCTCACTTCGATGTTTCTCTCCCCCATCCCTCCCACTCTCTCTAAAAATCAATGGGAAAAATATCCTTGGGTGAGGATTAACAACAACAAAAAGCTCCACACACATTATCTCTTTAATCCAAAGACCAGCCTTATGAGAAAATTAGTGAGACTGCCCATCATACAGAAGGGACAACTGAGGCTCACAGCTGCGAGTGGCGCATAGTGCGCTGTGCTGGCATCTGTCCTTGGTGTTGACACAGCCACTTGGCAGGAATCTCAGGAAGAGGCCACAGGTATCAGCATCAGTATGAGCCAGAATCCAACACTGCCTCTGATGGCAGGGCCCAACCCAGGTCCCTCACGTGAAGAAGTGACCTGGTGAGGGAACTTAAACTCCGCTTCCCAGACCTCACAAAGCAGCACACAGGAGCCCCAAGACCCCGCGAGGAGGAAGCGCCGAGAACACCAGCCAGAGAGAATCGGAGCCTGGGATGGGCCAATGTGGACACGAGTGTGAACAGAGCGTGTGGTGGGGAGGCTGAACGGCAAATGGGATGGTGGTGGCGACAGTCTGCTGGGACAGGGAGGGTTGAAAGGCTGAGGCTAGGATGAAGGGAAAGAGCTAGAAGGACATAAAAGCAGCCAACTCCCTCCATGGAGAATGGTCTGCACACACCACTGGAGACCACATTCCTGGGAGGCCCATCCACTGCACCACGGCCCCTGCTGCCCCCAGGAGGCCTCCAGCACAAGCGCGCGTCCTGGAGGGAGAGAAACAGCCCAGCCCCCGACACTTGCCTCACACATGTCCGACTTCTTGGGTCCTGGGCTGCTGGACTCCGTGCTGGCCCCTTCCGCTGGGCTGTGCGTGCAGATGCCACTGCTCATCTGGATGCCACCCTCCTCCTCCTCGGCCTGCTCCCCCTGGCCAGGGCTGTCCCCAGCCCCCTTCGGAAGAGGGGCATGCAGAACCTCCGTGCAAAAGAGAGTGCGGGGGCCGTGGAGCTCACAGAAGTGGCAGAGGGCGACGATGGCGTTCATGGTGCCCTGGAGACAGCACGGCCTGTGTTGGGGAGGAGGGAAGGCCATCAGCTGCCTGTGGGCTCACACCACAGACCCGCCAGCAACTCTGGAGCCTGGGACTGGGCAGGTATTGCCAGGGGCTTCCCATCCGGCAGAGGTGGCCACCCAGCAGGCAGCACCAGCTGAGCACCTATCCTGTGCCAGCACTGTCCTTGGTGCAGGGAGAACAAGACAATCCCTGCCCACGAGGAGTTACAGCCAACAGGAGGGAAAAGATACTTCGGCGACCACATAGACAGCCCTTCAGTCAGAGTGCTGAGCGGGCCTCAGGCCACAGCACAGAGGGCAGTGCCGAGGGAGCTCAGCCTCGGGGGAGGAGGGGTGTGTGAGCAGCTGCCTCCCCTGCACGATGCACTCGGAGGGCCTGCACAGGGGTCCTGGCCGAGCCGCACCAGAGAGGGATGTGGTCTCGACAAGGGCTCCTCAGCAAGCCCTGAAGGAACAGCGGGCAGGGAGCTAGGGGCTGAGGCGGGCACGGCTGGGGCCTGAGTGTTGGCAAAGCTGAGGGAACAAGGGCAGAAAACCAGGAGGAAGAAGATATTAGGGACCTTTCATGCCATGGCAAGACCCCGAACTTCTCTGGCAGAGATCAGAGCTTTTGCTGGGTTCTGCTGAGAAACATGATAAACATGAACTCTGAGTCGTGTCTGCGAAGCCTCCCAGGGGAGATGGTGACGGCAGAGGGAGCATGGGCTAGAGCTGAGCAGGGGGTCAGTCTGGTGGGGCCAGGGGCACCTCAATGGGGCCCAGAGCCCTCCCAGAGCCTCGATGTGAAAGGAGGGAGAGCTGGACACGGTGACAGATAATGGCAGGCAGTGAGGTGAACTCCAGTGTCACCTGGAGACCAAGTGAGCACCGTGGGAATCGTGAGGAGCAGAGGCCGGGGGGAGGCCGCGGAGGGTGGGCCCAGCACACAGCGGAGGGCTGGGCTTGGGCAGCTTGTTCATCTTAAGGGAGGGGAGCGGGATGTGAGTGCAGACAGTGTCCGCTAGTCAGAAGAACCAGGCAAGGCTGTAAAGTAGGAGCGTGTCCACTGGGCTGGCAGGCAGAGGCGGTTTGGAAAGGAGAATACAGGCGCAAAGGCACAGAGGAGGGACAGTGACGGCGGCTGACAGCACGTGTGTGACGCGGGGGGTGGGGCTGAAAGACAGCAGCCGTGAGCCGGCACTGAGAGTGAACACACTGGACGCACGTGCCTCCATCTCCCTCACCAGCCACCTTTCAGGTGTCCCCCAGCGGCTGCGGCTCACAGTGCAGACCACGGACCATTCCCACCGTCCCGGCAAGTTCTGCCAGGAAGCCTCGCTCAGAACAATTGAGGAAACATCTAGGTTCCTGAATGAGACTGAGGGGTGGACACTGCCAGGTTCTAAACCAGGGGTGGGCAAACTTTTTGACTCGAGGACCACAATGGGTTCTTAAACTGGACCGGAGGGCCGGGACAAAAGCATGGATGGAGTGTTTGTGTGAACTAATATAAATTCAAAGTAAACATCATTACATAAAAGGGTACGGTCTTTTTTTTCAATAGTTTTATTCATTTCAAATGGGCCGGATCCGGCCCGCGGGCTGTAGTTTGCCCACGGCTGTTCTAAACCCTCTCTCCCACCCCCACTACAAGCCAAAGAAGGTGGGCAGCCTCTGTCCTCACGCACGTGTAGGCAAGGGCATGTCCACAGCCTGGCCATGACAGGGCCTGCCTGGGACACGAACCTACAGGCAAGCAAAGCCTCAGCGTGTGAACATGCACAGCAGGGGGGGGGGGGAGTCTCCTGGGAGGGCGCCCCATGGGGGGCAGCGTCCTCAACACCCCTCCTGAGGTGCCCCTGATGTGCCTCCGAGCAGCCCCTGCTGTGGCTCTGCTCTGGCCATCAACCCCGCAGCTGCCACCACGTCCACAGTCCTCGTCCCGGAGGCAGGGGCTGGGCTCAGTGGGTGGGGGCAGCAGACACTGGGAGGGAGAGTCAGCTGGTCCGACAGCGCATCAGGCCTGGGCTCAGACACGGACACAGGGTGCTGGCAGGTGTGGGAGCCAGGGCCCTGTGTTTCCAGGGAGTGGGCAGCGGGAGAGGAGACGGAGGATGCTCAGTGGGAAGCCTCGAGTTACGAGCCTGGACTACAGTATCAGAGCGGCTGAAGAGAAAGGTCCCAAGCACTCCTCACAGCCTTGGCCTGACTCCCTCCTCACCAGTCAGCCTCTGCGTGCGTGTCCCCTGCCAGGAACGGCACCCCTCATCCGCCCACCCAGAAAAGCCGCCGCTTCTCCCCTCCCACCTCCCCGCTCTCTCCCCTCCCTGCACGAGCATTCCCACGTGGAGAGGCCTGGTCGTGTCCACAAAGTTCCCGACACATTAATAATTTAGGATAAAGTGACTTAGAAGCTGCCCACAGCGAGATGACCGTTGTCACCACAGAATGTGGAGGATCATTGAGGGCATCCACCAGCAGGAAAGGCTCAACAACACAACCATGGGGAACACCAAGAGCCTAGTGTCATGGGAATCAAATAAACTGAATTTAAATAGCATCCACATGACTGACTACAGTGAAGTCAAAGGAAACAATGGTTTAAAAATTCATTGTGGGGACACCATGAAATTTACAACATCTGTATCATAGGGATACCAGAAGGAGAAGAAAGCAAGCAAGAGATCGAGAATGTGTTTGAAAAAATAATGACAGAAAACTTCCTGAGCCCAGTGAAGAAAAAAGTCACACAAATTCAGGAGGCACAGAGAGTCCCATACAAGATTAAACCCAAAGAGATCCACGCCAAAACACATCATAAAATGGCAATTAAATAAATAAATAAATAAATAGCCAAAATTAAACACAAAGAGAGAATCTTGAAGGCAACAAGAGAGAGTCAGTTACCTACAAGAGAGTTCCTATTTGACTCAGCTGATTTCTCAGCAGAAACACTTCTGGCCAGAAGGGATTGGCATGAAAGTATTCAGAATGATGAAAAGCAAGGACCTGAATCCAAAATTGCTCTATCCAGCAAGGCTATCATTTAAAATAGAATGTGAAATAAAAAGCTTCCCAGACAAAAGAAGACTAAAAGAGTTCATTACCACCAAACCAGCATTGCAAAAAATGCTAAAGGAACTACTTTACGAAGAAATTGAGAGAGGAACATGGGCATTGGGAAAATAGCAATAAATATCTATCAATAATAAATAACCTTAAATGTAAATGGATTAAATGCTCCAATCAAAAGACACAGGGTAGCCAAATAGATAAGAAACACGACCCATACATATGCTGTCTACAAGTGTTCCACCACAGAACAAAAGATACACACAGGCTAAAAGTGAAGGGATGGAAAAAAATGTACCATGCAAATAGAAACGAAAAAAAGCTGGGGTAGCAATACTTCTATCTGACAAAATAGACTTCAAAAACAAAGGCCATAAAAGAAACAAAGAAGGTCAGACATCTCTCACAGCAATATTTTTGCAGATATGTCTCCGAGGGCAAGGGAAACCCAGGAAAAGATAAACAAATGGAACTACATCAAATTAAAAAGCTTCTGCAGAGCAAAAGAAACCATCAGCAAAATGAAAAGAGAACCCACTGTGTGGGAGAACATATTTGGCAATGATACATCTGATAAGGGGTTAATTTCCAAAATATATAAAGAACTTACACAACTCAACACTAGGGAAAAGCTCTGGTCAGTTGCTCAATGGTTAGAGCACTGGCCTGCAGAGAAGGGTCGAGGGTTCAATTCCTGATCAAAGGCACATACCTAGGTTGCAGTTTCCCCAGCCCCAGTAATGGTGCACGTGGGAGGCAGCCAATCAATGTGTCTCTCAGACGATGTTTTTCTCTCTTTTTCTCTCCCTCCTCCCTCCCTTCCACTCTCTAGAAATCAATGGAAAAGTATCCTCGGGTGAGGATTTAAAAAGAAAAATTGGGTAAAGGACCTGAATAGACATTTCTCTAAAGAGGACATACAGATGGCCAATAGACATAAAAAAATGCTCAACGTCACTAATCATTGGAGAGATGTAAATTACAACCATAAAGAGGTGTCCAGCTGGGGTGGCTCAGCGATTGAGCGTTGGCCTATGAATCAGGAGGTCACGGTTCAATTCCCAGGCAGGGCACACGGCGGCGGGGTTATGGGCTCCATCCCCAGTGTGGGGCGTGCAGGGGAATAGCCAATCAATGATACTCTCTCATCACTGATGTTTCAATCTCTCTCGCTCTCCCTTCCTCTCTGAAATCAATAGAAATATGTATTTTTGAAAACTACAAAGAGGTATCACCTCACAGCTGTCAGAATGGATACTATTAATAAACCAACAAACAAGTGCTGGCGGGATTCGGAGAAGAGGGAACCCACGTGCACTGCGGGTGGGAACAGAGGCTGTGCAGCCACTGTGGAGAACAGTATGGAGTTTCCTCAAAACATTCAAAATGGAACTGCCTTTTGACCCAGTGACCCCCCTTCTGGGAATATATCCTAAGAAACCAGAAACACCATCAGAAAGAATGTGTGCACCCCTGTGTTCATAGCAGCACAATATACAACTAGAGGCCTGGTGCACAGAATAAAAAGCAGTGGTACATTTACACATGGAATACGACTTGGCTGTGAAAAAGAAGTCTTACTGTTTGTAATAACATGGAAGGACCTGAGAGTATTCTGCAGGTGAAATCAGCCGGTGGAGAAAGGCAGATACTCTGTGATCTCACTAATAAAATAAACCGAGGAACAAAATGGCAGCAGAGCACGGTCCCATGGAGCAGACTGGACGGTGCCCGGGTGGGGAGTGACTGGATAAGGAACACATCCCCACCTATGGACACAGACAGGAATGGGGCCAAGTCCAGGAGGGGGGTGGGAGCATGGAGGTGGGCAAAGCGGGGCAGGGGGACTCTGCAATAATATCAACATGAAAAAATGCTTGGTTTTTTAAAAAATCCGGTGTGGAAGAGGGGGTGAGCAACCACTGATGGAATAGAAACCCCGAGGAGGCCACGCCCTCCGGAGGGTCCAGGGGGGAGGCGCTGTGTGTGGGGGGGGGGAGGGGGGGTTGGCACAGAGGCAGCCCGTGGCCAAGGCCCGTCCCGCAGCGCGGGAGGCACAGGCCCCGTCCGACGTGGACGGAGCGCGCAGGCCACCTCCACACGGTCAGCGAGGACGGTGCGGCCACACTCAGAGCTCATCCTGAGAGCAGGGGGCTCAGCAGCGTGACCGGTTCCAGCCGGCAGGTCGCAGCCAACCGCGACCAGAGCACCAACGAGGGTCCGGGGTCCCAGCCGCCGGTCCGGTCGCAGCGGCACCTCCCGGACCCGCGCACACACAGGTGTCGCCGCACATCCCGGGAGACGGAAAGCCAGCCCTCTCCCCTCCCCGCCGGGGGTTAGGGGGCCGCGGCCCTGGAGCAGGGCTCCCCACGTCACACACACCGGGAGTCGCCGGGCACCGGCCTCCCTGAGGGCCTCGGGGCCCCTCTGACGTCACCACCCCCCGTGGCCCGCACTCGGCGGCGAGTTCAGGGCGGTCCAGGGCCGGCCCTCCTCGCTCTGCAGGGGGCCGAGCACACCAACGCCTCCTTCCCAGCAGCTCCCGATCCCGGCGGGTCCCTCTGCCCGCCCCCCGGGCCGAGCAGCCACGCCCACGCCCACGCCCCACGCCCCACGCCCCACGCCCGGGGCTGCCCTGAGCTGGTCCGCTCCACCCGCTGTGGTCTCCACAGGACAGGAGGGCGGGAGCGCGGACGGACGGACGGACGGACACGGACACACACGGGGACACGGGGACGGACGCGCACACACACGCGCGCGCACACACACACACACACACACACACACACACACACACACACACTAGCGCGCGCGGCGTCACGTGGCCTCAGCCGCAGCCGGAACCGCCCCCGGGGCGCCACCCGAGCCCCGCGCAGGGGGACAGCGCGGAGCCCGGATCCCCTCCAGGCCCGCGGGGCTGCTCCCGCGGTGCCGCCCGGACCTGCGGGCAGCGGGGCGCGGCGTCCCTCCTGCGCCCTGGCGTCGGCCCGACCGGGAGGCGACTCCTGGCCCGCGACCTCCGGGGCTGCTGACCAGCGACGGCCTCAGCCACGAGGGACACGGCCCGGCCAGGCCGCGGGGAGGAGGGTGCCCGCCGCCCGCCCGCCGGGAGGAGTCGAGGCTGGGCCTCCTGCCACCTGAGGCCGCGGGAGGAGTCACCCGCTCCCCGACCCCGGCGGGCGGGCGGCCTCCCCGTGGAGCAGCGACCCCCGCCTCCTCCGTCCCCGCCCACGAACCACCAACCCCCAAACGACTACCGGCGCCAACGTGACCCAGCGGACGGTACCCCGCTGCCTCGCTCACTCCCCGAGGCCGCTTGCCGTGTCGGCGGCGATCGATCCTCCGGCCGCACCAGGAAGGGGGCGCTGGCTCGGGCTGCGCGCCCCCGGGCCTCGGGTCACCGACCACACCCCGCCCCGCCCTCCTCGCGGCCCTCGGCCCCGACCACGAACCCCCGCCCCACGCACCTGCGGTCCGCTCGTCCCCTCCCGGCTGTCCCGCGCCGGGCGCACTTCACGCCTCCGCCGAGGGCCCCACCCACGCTCGGGCCTCAGTCCGCACGGTCACCGCCGCGAGCCGGACTCAGCCGGCGGGGAGCACCGCCCGGGCCGCACTCAGCCGCTGAGCACCTGACAGCTCGCCCTCTCCCGCGGCCGCCCAGCGCCCTCAGCGGAGCGTCTCGGGCGCCTGACTCGGCCGGGGCCGCACCACCCGCCCGGGCCGCGGAGGGGCGCACGGGCCGCACCACCCGCCCGGGCCGCGGAGGGGCGCACGGGTCGCACCACCGCCCCGGGCCGCGGAGGGGCGCACGGGCCGCACCACCTCCCCGGGCCGCGGAGGGGCGCACGGGCCGCACCACCCGCCAGGCCGCGGAGGGGCGCGCGTCCGGCAACTCCGAATCTGGCCGGGAACCTGAAGCCCTGCCACCTTGCTCCCCCGCCCCCTGTTCCTCGCCCCCCCACCAAGAAGTATGAAATGGTTCAATCCGTACCGGTGGGCCTATTGGAGGAAACCATTCCAAGAGGGGAAAATACTTAAATTTTTTTAAGAAACGAACACATTTTCAAGAGCTTTGATGGAAGATATAGCCGTTCTAGGGCTCCCGGTCCACATCGAGGACGAAAGGAAACAGAACATCGCGACGTTATAAAAAGCACTGTAATTTCTCGGAAAAACTGGGTTTTAAGCCACTGGTTTTTATTAAGTTGCCGGTGAGCCCGTCTTGGGGGGGAAGGGGCAGGTGGGGGCGGGGCGGGAGGGGCGCGGCCGCGGGCCGGCTGGGGGCGTGGCCGCGGGGCGGTGGGGGCGTGGCCGCGGGGCGGTGGGGGCGTGGCCGCGGGCCGGGGAGGGCGCCTCAGAGAGCGCCTGGGGCCGCAGTGCCTGGGGCGGGCGGCGCCCTGAGTGTTGCGGCCCCGTGCGCATCCCTCAGTAGAGGGGGAGTCAGTGTCTCTGGTCGCCGAGGTCACTTTCGCTTTGGTTCCGTGTGTTGCCGAGCAGAGGCCCAGAGAAGAGGACACTGCGCTGCCCTGGCCCTGTCCGCGGGCGACCAGGAGCAGGGGCCCAGCTGCCGGCCCGCAGCCCTTGCAGGTTCCTTATTCCCACCAACCAGCCCTCTCGGTAGCGGGCCGCACAGGCTTTTACGAGCTGGGCCGAGGAGGCAGATAACAAGGAATGTGATCAATACATACTGGTAAGTCACAGGAGACCCGGTGCATGACACCCGCGCCCTGGGGGGCGGCCCTGAGCCCCAGCCCCCGAGCCCTCAGGGGATGCCCACCTGCGGCTTAGGCCCGCGCCGGGAGAAGTGATTGCCGCCAACAGGCAAACAACCTCGGAGAGTGTGCGAGCAGGGAGCAGGCCTAAGCCGCAGGCGGGTGTCCCCTGAGGGGCCCTTAGCGCTGTCGGGAGGCCGCCACCACTGCTGCAACTGCCAGCTGTCAACCCGGCTTCTGGCTGAGCGGGCTCCCCCTGTGGGAGTGCACTGGCCACCAGGAGGCAGCTCCTGCGTTGAGTGACTGCCGCCTGGTGGTCAGTGCACATCATAGCGACCGGTGGTTCCACCGTTTGGTCCAGTTGCATATTCCTCTTTTATTGTATAGGAGACTAGTGACCCGTCTCACGAAATCCCCGAGACCCAGGACCCCTCCCCCCTTCCGCATGGGACCTTACCGAATGCTCTGGGCACAGACCCCTGCACCTGCTACTGAGGTGAGGTTCATGCCAGCGGCCATCTTGGCTACACCCGCCTACGCCTCGCACCCCTCAGGGTCCGTCATTTTGCTTACTCACCTTAAGCCACCCTGGCCACGCCCCCTAAGGGCACCTGGGCTTTGCTCAGAGCCTCTTCCACAGCCAAGCACCTGCGCTCCCTTCGGGTCGCCCCTGTCCTCCGCCTGGGTCCAAACTTCCTTCTAGCAGGACTTTCTTCCCAGCCTCTGAGGGCAGCAAAGCCTCTCCCCACCTACCGGGCACACCTGGCGTACACAGCTCCGTGCCCCCCCTCCCCCACTGGTGTTCACCCTCCTGCTGCTGACTCCACGTCTGTCCCTTGTTAGCAAGTCCCCGCTTTTTTAAAAAATATATATTTTATTGATTTTTTACAGAGAAGAAGGGAGAGGGATAGAGAGTTAGAAACATCGATCAGCTGCCTCCTGCACACCTCCTACTGGGGATGTGCCTGCAACCAAGGTACATGCCCTTGACTGGAACCGAACCTGGGACCCTTCAGTCCACAGGCCGACGCTCTATCCCCTGAGCCAAACCGGCCAGGGCCCATGTCCCCACTTTTAACTCTAGTAATTCCTGCGCGTGAGTTTACCCTCCCGCAATCTCTGGGCTAGGCCACGGCACGCCCCTACCCACAGGGCTGCCTGCGCGCCTTCCCACAGTCCCAGGCTCTGCCTCAGGTCTGTGCAGCACGCCCCGGGATGGCCCTGAGTCCTGGGGCCCCGGAACCACACGAAGCGGGTGCCAGCCCCGCCCCTGCTGCCCCACCCCCGCTGTGCTTGCTGCCATCTTGTGACGACGTGAGTGTTAACTTGCATATTACCTCTTTATTATAGAGGATAATACAAGGGTAAGCCTTCCTGCACTCACAGCTGTAGGCCTGCTTTTGCCCACCTGTGTATTTTGTCGTAAGTCGCAAGACTGAAGCAGACAACGGCAGGAGCCCCATAAGGATGCACTGGCTTGCATTTCTCTTCTACTTTGGTATCAAGAAAGCAGACTTGAGTTGTATTGAGTTTGCATAATGCCTGGAAAGCCTTAGACCCCTGTATGGCGGTGCCTTTCTAATTTCTATAACAAAACACTTCTAACATTTGTCAAAGTGAAGAGGTTTCACCCTGAAAACAGCCACAGCAGCCCTGGCTGGTGTACTCAGTGGTTAGAGCATCACCCACTAAGGGTTGTGGGTTCAATTCCTGGTCAAGGGCACGTGCCTCAGTTGCAGAGTTGATCCCCAGCCCGGTTGGGCACATGCAGAGTCTTTTTTACATCGATGTTTCTCTCTCTCCCCCTCGCTCCCCCCGCTTTTCCACTGTCCCTGAAAATCAATGAAAAAATGTCCTCAGCTGAGGATTAACAGCAACAACAACAACAGAAAATGGCCACAGCAGCAATTGAGTACAAATCTGATTGGGCTCCACACTTAGTAAGCAAAGAACTTATAAAACTACAAGCAGATTAATTAGTTACCATGACTGATTTGATTTTATTTTTTATAGTAAACGGTGGGAATTTATCGAGAAACAAGCACAGACTCCCACATGGGGAGGGGAAAGAGTCCCATCATGACTAATGTTATTTAACGAGGAGACTAATATCACTTTTTCCGTAAAAATCCAATTATATATTTTATTGCATCAATTAATGTGAGGTCTGATCGAATAATTCAAGGGACACCCCGCCTCTGGGAATGACCTTTAGACCGCTTCCCAACAGACATTCCCTTTTGCTTAGCACTTGCTACGACCACATCCTCTTGCTAAAACCATTATCTCTCTCCTCAGGACCCGCCCAGAGAATTCTCTGCCTAGGGTCCTTTAAAACCTCTGACTCTCAGTCTTTGGGGGCTGGTGCCATTTTGGGGCTCAGCCCATTTGGTTTTCCAAATGACCTAATAAATTCATAATTCTTCACTCCTTCTGGCCTTGTACGTTCCTCCTTCAGCGACCCTAACATTTGGTGCTGAAACCTGGGAGGGTTCCACGGGGATGGGGAGCCATTGCCCCAGCTTCGGTCACCCCGAGTTTGCTACTTGGAGAGCTGTAGGCAGCGGCAGCTCGACCTGGGCTTACCTCCGAATCCTCCTCGGGTGACTCGACTGCCGGCCTCGATCAGGCCTCCCTCCCTTACGGGCCCTCCTGAACCAGCCAAGGAGGCCGCGGATCGGGAATCTCTCCTCCTCCATTGCTGACCCTCCATCCCACACCGGCCAGTCTCCTCTAGGTGAGTGACGCACCACAATTCCCCTCGTCTCAGGTCCTCTGCCCACTCTCTCTCACTGACTTCTTGAAAGTCTCTCGTCTCAAAAGTCCTAGCGCTGGCCAGAAGCCTCCTCGGCTTTTGACTTGGGTCCTTCTGGATTGGGGACGCCCAGTCCGGAGGGTCACCTCTCGTTTCTCGTGGTGATTTGTTTAGCAATGGGGACGCCTGCCCTAAACAGTCCCCTTTGGACTTGTGCTCTGTCACTCACCCTTCCTCTCTCTGGGACAAACAGCGCTTTCCATTTTAACACACTGAGCAACTTAGATAATTGCTGTCACCGCAATGCAAAATGGTCAGAGATTCCCTCCATCCAGGCCTTTTCACCCTTCAGTCCCAGCCCTCTCTCTCCGTCCTGCTCTACCCGTCAGATCCTTCTCCTTCACACAAAACATCACCACCTAACACTTCTGATTCTGAATCTACGTTTGACCCAGCAGACCACCGACCTCCACCCCCTTACACACCCCCTCCCTCACCTGCAGATTCCCAAAACCCAGACCCTCCTAACCAGCAGCCACCTCCCGGCCCCTGAGAGCCCAACTCCCAAGAACTCAAGCTCCAAAACAGCCTTTTCCCACCATACACTCGCTCTCGGGCCACCCAAAGACCACCCTCAACAGCCTTTTATTCCCACTCCCATTCTACCCAAGGGACGCGGCAGGAACTGAGGGTATTGTGGTCAATTATGACAAACTTAATGAAGTCACTCAGGGCCCTGATGAAAGCCCAGCTCTCCTCCTCTCCCGCCTCACGGAGGCCTTGCAGAAATTGACCACTTAGGCCCCACCCCCAGAGGGAACCCTTACGAACACCCATTTTATAGCCCAACCAGCCACCGAGGTCACCATAAACTTTGAAAAATAGACACAGCTCCACAAACCCCTCAAAGAGACCTCATTAACCTGGCCTTTAAGATCTTTAATAATAGAGATGAGGAGACCCAAATCCAAAAACAAAAGCGTGATCAGGCCAAGGCTGAGGCCCATTAGGAGGCCTTCCAGCTCCTAGCATTGCTCTCATGAACCCCAAACGAAGTGCCGGTCCTCCAACTGCGGGTAAGTCAGGGCTAAGCCTCCTCCGGGCCCATGCTTCAAATGCAGCAAGGAAGGAAACAGGGC